CTCATTTCTGCCCTTAGAGAATCTATGTTACCATTAATGGTTTTCTCCATCCTAGCTATTTTCTGCATAACTGTTACCCTGAGGTCTATCTTCAACATCTTGTTTATATCTTTATCTATTAGTTCTGTGGCGGAGATCATAGTCTGTGAATTTTTCCTGTATTTGGGGTTCCTCCTCTTAGTCATTCTGTTGAGGGGTGGTTGAGGGAATATATAGATTCCAGATTATTGACCACAACTGAAACAAGATTCACTTGTTCTATAGGGACCTTTGAGTTTTTGGCCTCTTGTTCTTCCAGTCTGTCTTCTGGGGGAGGGGTCTGTCCTGCTGTTATTCAGGCAACCCTGTTTGAGCAGAGTTGCCCTGCCCCCTATGGTGGGGATGGGCTTTGTAAAAACAGTTTTGGGGGGGCTTTTGTTCTCTGGGTGCTTTCCCTGATGACTTCTGCTTCTCTTCTAAGAGTCAGAGCAGAAGTGACCATATCCAAACCTGTCTCAGAACAGAGAGATTGCAGTCTGATTTCCAGAGAGCCCTCCAGGGCACACTGACTCCGTTTTTGTTTTTTTTTTAAGATTTATTTATTTATTTACTTGACAGAGAGAGATCACAAGTAGGCAGAGAGGCAGGCAGAGAGAGAGGAAGGGAAGCAGGCTCCCCACTGAGCAGAGAGCCCGATGCGGGGCTCGATCCCAGGACCCCAGGATCATGACTTGAGCCGAAGGCAGAGGCTTTAACCCACTGAGCCACCCAGGTGCCCCCACTGACTCCGTTTTTGTCTGTGCTGCCAGAAACCGCAGCATCCTGGGTTGTGTGCCCCACAGCTGCACTCCCAGTTCTTGCTGGCTCCACAGCTCCACAGTCCCACAGCTCCAGGTTTCAGTCTGGAAGGGTTCCCTAAAGTCCTTTCCCCACCACTACCAGTCTGTGAGTGGGTGCCCAGTTCAGCGCAGGAGACTTTTACACGCCAGTGGCCAAAGATCCCAGAGACTCCCTCCTCCCTCCATTTATCTTCCAATATCTGCCTGCAGAATCATGGCTCTCTGCTTCATACCTCAAAACTAACCACTGGGGATATTCTGTTTGTAGAGATCTGGACATATCTTCTTTCATCTCAGGCTGATTTCATGGGTGTGCAGACTGGCCTGGTAGATATCCAGCTCAATTCAGGGGACTGGATGAAATAGGGTCCCTTACTCCCCACCATTTTTGTCCCCTATTCTGTGTGTTTTTAATGTCCCAAGTAGTTTTCAGTTTCTTTCTTTCTTTTTTTTTTTTCCCAAATGAAAGACAATTTTATATCCATTTTATGGGGATTTGGGTTTCATTCTGGGAAGAGAAGTTACCAAAGATAAGATATCTTTCTGTATATTAAGAATATACAGGGGCTCCTGGGTGGCTCAGTGGGTTAAAGCCTCTGCCTTCGGCTTGGGTCATGATCCCAGGGTCCTGGGATCCAGCCCTGCATCAGGCTCTCTGCTCAGCAGGGAGCCTGCTTCCTCCTCTCTCTCTCTGCCTGCTTCTCTGCCTACTAGTGATCTCTGTCTGTCAAATAAATAAATAAAATCTTTAAAAAAAAAAAGAATATACAGATATGTGTAGGCTAAATTAAACATTGGCTGATATCCAAAGGAGGGACAATTGTCTGACCCATAAAAGATGACTATTTACACTTTGACTCCTGAATGTAATAAGATATTAGAGTAAGAGAGGAGTATTTATTTTTGCCTTAGAGATTTATAGTAGTTTGACTAAAATACTAAGAACAGTCAATTAAAGTGTCACAAACCAAGGTGCCTGGGTAGCTCAGTCAGTTAAGTAGTTGCCTTTGGCTCAAGTCATGATCCCAGGGTCCTGGGATCGAATCCCCCATCTGGCTCCTTGCTCAGCAGGGAGTCTGCTTCTCCCTCTCCCTCTGCCTGCTGCTCTGCCTACTTGTGCTCTCTGTCTCTCTCTGTCAAATAAATAAATATAATCTTACATAAATAAATAAATAAATAAAATGTCAAAAATCTTGAAAAAATCTGTTCAGTAAACAAAGAACACTGAATAAGAAGTCTAGAGAACCAGTTTCTATTTCTGCTTTTATAATTAGCTATATATTCTAGGGAAAATCATTTAATATCTCTGGGTTCTGTTTTCTCATTTGCAACTTCCTACAAAATTGTGGGTGCGGAGGGGAGAATACTTTATTAACTATGGGATGCTGATGAAAGGCAGACACTGCATAGGAGGCTGGATCACTTTCTTCATCAGGAAATCAGTCAGGATGACTACATTCTGAAACCAAAAAGTGTCATGAAAACCTACAGAAAAAATTATCTGTTTTAGTGAAAGGGGAATTAATGAGCAGAACTTTACAAAGGGGCTATTAAATGTTTTTAAATATGAATAGGATCTAGGAGAAAGAGAAAGAAGCATTATAAGAAACTTTACAGTGCACACAGGGCTGTCAAATTTTAATTGCATCTGTAAGCATCAGCATAAATAGTAACAACCATCACAAACAGTATCTTTCTGTTAAAAAAGAAAAAGAAAAAGAAAAAAAGAAAGAAAGAAAGGAATGTCTCAAGCTTTCCAACAAATGTCAACAGACAAACTTACACCAAGATATTTACTTTGATTTTCTAAAGTCATATTTTAAAGAATTGGGAGAAAATTTAATAAATATTAATTCAAAATTTTTCTACCTTACAGTTAAACTAAAATCTACTTTACTCATTTTTTAAAATAAAGGCAAAAATAAAATAAAATAAAATAAATAAAGACAGGAACATCTGTGTGCATATGTATGTGTTTGAATACCAAAACAGTACAAACATCAGTATTTCATTAAAAAGAATTACCAAATAGACTCAATAGCAGCCAACACACCATATTAGCTCTCCTAACTGCACCTGGATTTATTTAATCTCTTCTTGGAAAATTATTGTTTCTATTTATTTTGTACTTGCAATCTCTTTCACCATCTCAAAGCATCTCCACCATCTCTCCTCTACTCTAAGGCTATAGGGAGGGACCAACCTATCAGCAGTCTGGCAAGGAAAAAAGGTCTAGACCACATGTGGCTGGGCCATCTTTGGGCAGGTATGAAAATTAATATTTCAGCTGACCACTGAATGGTCACTGTTTAATTGTGATTTGTGCAATTAGCTAAGATCAAAGCAAATTTATGGGCAGTTATGTAAACTTTTCCACAAAGAGAAAAAATTGCTAATTTTTTCATTACTGTAATGTAAATAAAGAAATTAACCAAAAAAATTTTAGCAGAATGCAGTTCACACACACACACACAACTAAATTTAAACCTTATAAGGCAATATTTATCCTTAATACAAGTGATGTATTATCTATCTTCTCCTGTTATATTTTGTTTTTCATGAAAAATGTTTGCAGTCAGGGTTTGGTGGCACCACTCAAATCCACTGACAAGAAGAGATTAATTTTTCAGGAATTCTGAGAGCCAGGTGACATCACATTTATAGCTTATAAATCAGCAAATGAAGATATGTATATATATGTATATATATATATATAAATATATATGCATACATATAAGCTAGAATCATTTTCATGGAATACCATAAAGGGCAATCTATATCTATATATATCTATTTATCTCAAGGAAATAGTCAAATTCTACAAATAGTGGCTCTTTCCTTCTTTCTTTTCTTTTCTTCCTCCTTCCTTCCTTCCTTCCATTCTTTTCAGAGCCAGGTGTTAAATACTTAGCAGCACACCACAGTTTGCAGATGACTAGCTTCATTTCAGGAGTTATTTATGGGTCTCAGCTTACAGTTAAAAGGACACTGAATAACAAATATATGGTTTCCAGTACTAAACCCTCCCCACCCCCCGTAAATACTGGTTTTCTTAGCTTCCTCCTCTCACCACTCTATGATTTAAACATGTATGTATAAATATATTAAACAAACAAAAAATCACAAGTTTTTGGTATATATTTACATTTATTAAAAATCAGAACATAGGGATGCCTGGGTGGTTCAGTCCATTTAGTGGCTGACTCTTGGTTTCAGCTCACATCATAATCTCAGGGCAGTGAAGTCCAGCTACCAGTAAAGTTCCACACGGGGCATGGGGTCTGCCTAAGATTCTCTCGCTCTCCCTCTGCTCCTACCCCCACTTGAGCATACACTGTCTCTCTTAAAAGAAAAAGAAATAAGAACACCAATTAGCAATACAAAATGTGAATGAGTCTCAGGAAGGAAGGAAGCACTGAGCAGAGTTCTCCTGCAAATAAACGGAAACTTGTCAGTGGCTGTGATTAAGGTGAAACATGAGTGAAAATATGAACGAAATCTGTTGCCTCTGATGTGCAGTTGCCCTTTTTTTTTAAAGAAACGTTTAGCCTCACCACAGTAAAATCTAGTAAAGTGTAACTTCCTGCTAACCAATGACTGGTTCCTGACAGAATATGTATTTTTGAAATTATTGCCATATTTATTTATCTATAATTATTAGTTGTTAATGTTTCAAAATACATCTGTTCAGATGCTGAGGAACAAAAAGTGAATGGAAATACGACACAAAATATTGGTGGTGGTAAGAGGGAGCAGCACCCTCAAGGTCTGTTTGTGCCGGGATCCCTTCCAAATGGGGTAAAAGTCCTGTGTGTTCTCCTCACACCATTCCTGACTTTTCCTCTTCTCCTTTGTTTGTTTGTTTCTTTCTTTCTTTCTTTCTCTCTTTCCCTTCTTCTTCTTCTTCTTCTTCTTCTTCTTCTTCTTCTTCTTCTTCTTCTTCCTCTCCTCCTCCTCCTCCTCCTTCTTTTTCTTCTTCTTCTTCTTCTTCCTACCTACCTAGAAGTAGTGGATATATCCAGTATCCTGAAAAAGATTCCTTTTTTCCCCTCAAGTCTTAGAAATGAAAAGCTTGCCATCATAGCCAAAAGTGTGCACACATTTGTGCACATGGCCATGCATACACACACACACACACACATTTTAAGTGACTTTATTCTTCTAAGTTCCAGTCCTTTTGCTTCAATTCACTCCTACAGAAGAAGTCCATTCTTTTTGAGTAAACAAATTAGTATTATGGAAATGCGAGCTGCAAATTTTCCCTAGTAAAATGTACTTCAGTGCTCTGCGAAACCAGGGATAGAAGAAACCATATATTAAGGGATTACACGTGGAGTTAAAATAACCAAACCATGTCAAAGCATCAAACAAAACCACAGGAGTAGAGAAATCCAAAAAGGGATCCAATAAAATAGTGAAGAAGCAGGGAAACCAACATAATAAGAAAACACCCATCACTATTCCTAAAGTTTTGGCAGCTTTTTTGTCTTTCCTCATTTGGTTATTTTGATTTTCTGGCAAATTATTTATTGCACGAGCATGTTTTCTCGACACTGCAAAAATCTTGCCATAAATCCCCACCATCACAGACCCTGGAGTGAAAAAACCCGCCATAAACAAGGTGGTCCCCCATAGCTTATTGAACATCACTGGACAGGAACTGGAACAAGCCACCAAGATGTCATAGCCTTCTATCCCATCAGCATAGGCCTCAGAGAAGACCACCCCGAAAGCAAATGCTCCAGGGACAGACCAACAGAGAAGTAGCAACCGCTTAATGAGGGGAATCGTTATTTTTGTGGAATAACATAAAGGGTAACAGATAGCATAAAATCTATCAATGGCCACTGAGCAAAGATGGAAAATGGACGTTATGCTAAGCATTAGGTCAAAACTATAATGAATCTTGCAAAATGTAAGCCCAAAATACCAGCAAGTCTCCACTGATCTGACCATACTGTAAGGCATGATGGTGAGCCCCAGGAGGAAATCAGTGACTGCCATGGAGAGAATGAGGAAGTTGGTTGGTGTGTGAAGTTGCTTGAAGTAGGAAATGGAAATGATCATGGCGAGGTTGCCAAACACCGTGATGAATATGGCTCCTGCCATAAATGAATACATAGCTGCTCGGACACCCAGTGATCTTTGATTTTCTGGGCAAGATCCATTTCCATATCCAGAGCAATCCAATATTTCCTTCAGAAAAATCAAGAACACATGAAATTTTGTCAGCAATACATAAAACATTCTATAATTTAGGTAAGTTTTCATAGAACAACTCAAGAAAAATATCGAAGACTCAAGGAAGATACTTAATTTATGCTGAAGTATTAGTTATGATCTTTCTCATTTATTTATCCTAACCTTTATTTGGAACTTCATAGAATTTTAAATCTGAGCTTAAATGATCATTATTTACTTTATATGTTCCCAGATACAAATTATACCACCAACATTTAGTAAGCTCTTACTTTATGCCAGGACCAGAAATTTTAAAAAAAGAAAAAGAAGAGGAAAAGAAAGAGAAGACTGGAAGGAGATGAAGGGGAAGAGAAGAAGCAACAAGTTCATTATCTAATTCATTATAACCGATGTTCTTTATGTTCATAGAAAGATTAGATATGTATCAGACAATACATTCACTTCTTCCTCAAATAAGTATTGAACAAATAATTAGATTTTATTTGATTCAGGTCTACTGCCTTGTGTGACCAGGAGTTTATTATCATTTGAAAATTGTTTTATTCATGTGTTGTGTTATTTTCATGGTGTTTTGATTTTGTTCATGCCAAGGTTGCTTAGAAGGGAAAGAGTCATTTAAAGATATCTAATAATCTAGTAGAACATCTTCAGCCAGTCATGGAGACTTGGCAAGCATCTCACCAGCCAGAGAAGCTCAATCAGATATGGACAGAGACCAAAGTTGGACCACCTTCAGTTCTTTATGAAGAGAAAGCACTCCTCCATGGTGCTTCCCCTCAGAGCCTTGGGCATTGCATAGCAGGCAAAAATAAAAGCCCGGTGTTTCAGTGTGTGGGTCACGGAGAGAGCTAGGAGCAGATGATAAGTGAACATTAGGACAACAAGCCATCTCCACTCCCTTCTTGTGTTGGTCTAGTATCTTCATTCTGCATATAAAAATCTGCATGATGCAATTTTACATGTATATTTGAAAGGAAATGTGTTCAATAATTAGGATGACTTTACTTTCTTAAAGTACATTGAGGGAAAAAAAACACTATTTAATACAAAGGATTAGCTATTAATACTGTAGTGTCTTTGGTTATCAAGGACTTCATAAATATCAGACATGACTACTTATTAACAGACAAACCAGTAGATTCTCAGCCCCTGTGAGCACCATCACACACTGATCAATACCTGTTTATTGAGTGCCCACAACACACAAGACACAATGAAAGAATAGGAAAGCATTAGACCACTAGTCCCTGGCTTCAGAGAGTCTACAAAACAGGTGATGAGCAAAATACATCAACACTTAAAACATAAATGATTCTGCACTATAGATTAAAAAAAAAAAAACAACTATTGAGATTAACTGACCTAAGAGGGGTGGAGGCAAAATGTGCAAAGATAAAAAGTGGACATGAGAATTTCAGGCTGGGGTAGACAATAATGATCCAGTGATGGTGAGACTTTCCATCTGGTTCTACATAGGTGAGTGGGATTTAAAACAGAAGAGAGAAAGCCTGTTCCAAGCAGAAGGAAACGTGACAAAGAGACATGAGGTTGTTCAGAGACCTTCATTCTAAGGGTATCTGAAACAACACAGAGAAAATAGGGGGTTGAGGAGAGGATAGAGTGGGAGGAGGGTGGGTTTCTAGTTTCACTGTTGCCCCTCAAGCCAGTGGTCTTAGCCATCATGTAACCAAGGAACTTTCCCATTTTGTTCTCAAATTTAAGTAGTGATTTAAAAGAGAGAAAAATAAATAAAGCACTTAGGATAGCTGCAGGAGAATGAGTGCAGACTTGAAATTAAAACCTTTTTCCAACTGATTCTTCTTTTTGTTCAATAATTGGTGTTCAAGATTGTATTCATTTCAGGTGTTCAGCATAGTGATTTGATATTTATATGCATTACAAAATGGTCACTACAATAAGTCTAGTTATCATCTGTCACCAAGCAAAGTTGTTACAATATTGTTGACTATATTTCCTATGCTGTCCATTATTATATACCCAAGTCTTACTTATTTTTTGACAGGAAGATGGTACTTCTTAATTCTATTCACCTATTTTGTCCATCCCCACCCTTCTGCCTTCTGGTAACCATCAGGTTATTCTCTGCATCTATGAGTCTATTTCTGTTTTGTTCATATGTTCTGTTTTGTTTTGAGTTTTTTATTCATTTGTTTTGTTTTTTACATTCCACATATAAATGAAACCATATGGTACTTGTCTTGCTCTGTCTGACTCATTTCACTTAGCATAATACCCTCAGGGTCTAGCCATTTTGTTACAAATGGCAAGATTCACTCTTTTTTATGGATGAATAATATTTCAATATAGATATATATATACCACATCTTCTTTACCTATTCATCTATCGATGGACATTTAGATTGCTTTCACCTCTTAGCTATTGTAAATAATGTTGCAATGAACATAGGAACTCATATGTCTTTACAAATTAGAAAATGCAGTACAGTTGACCCTTTAAATTATATGTGGATTTAATTGCAAACTTCTTTGTGATCCTGGCTTAGTGACTTTGATATAATAATCATCCTACAGTCCATGTTTGGAAATTCATACTCAATCCTTCTAAGCTTCAAATCATAGAGCACAGAACTGACCTCCCTTCCATGTAGCAAACTTAATTAGCCAATCAACTCTAAGAACTATAATAAAGTTCTTTGAAACACATAGCATGATGCATACATTAGAATATGTCTGCCTCAAACCCCTGCCATAGAGCAGGAAGGGACACAGGAGATGACTATTTGGTGACTTCACCAAACAAGACTTTTAAGTAACCTCCCTGTAAGCATCATTGTCCTCTCTTGGGTAATGTGACATCCATTATCAATTTAAACCTTTCGATGGCCATATCTTTCACATCTTCCACAGTGATTATCTGTGAATGCTAAGACATAAAAGAGTACTTTCAAAGCCATATTCTTCTAGTGACACTAAATTTTTTTTTTAAACTACTAATATAAGCACATATAGATACATGGATGGCGAGAGAATTAAAGTCTGGTCTTTTCTTCATTATTGCTGTATCTATAAGAAGCACAAAATTTAATGATCCAGAACATAAAGAATTGCTTGCCCATTCATGAATAATAAATAAATACCATATCTAAACTGTATTCTACTAAATTGTTAAAAATAAAAATATTTTCTACATTCCCCAGGAAAGTGATTAAATTGCAGGGCCATGACCACAATAATAAGGAATTTTCTGATTTTTCTAATGCAATTTCATTTCTCTCTTTTTCTTTTTAAAGATTTTGTTTATTTATTCATGAGAGACCCAGAGAGAGAGAGGCAGAGGGAAAGTGGACTCCCTGAGGAGCAGGGAACCCTATGCAGGATTCAATCTCAGGACCCTATGATCATGACCTGAGCCGAAGGCAGATGCTTAACTGACTGAGCCACCCAAGCACCCTCAATCTCGTTTGTCTGTACCTTATTAAACTTGGTAAATATAGCAAATAGTAAAAATCCCTTTGCTTTACCAACCATTTTTTAAACTTTCAACAGAATACAAAGTTCTTCTTCCTGCTAATCATTCTTTATACCTTTCTGGAATTATTCTGCCCTTACCCAAGCTTTTAGTTTCCTTCAGTTTTTCAATTTCTCTCAAATATTCCATGTTAATGAATCATAACATATTAAATCACACATATGAACAGCCTTAGCACAATGCCTGATATGCAAAGAACACTATCAATGTGATTTTCTTCTCATCTTTCTTCCTTGTTGGGATGAACACCACTCAAGAATACATTTGACTAGAAAATACTGTTCCTAAGAAAGTAAAGGAATGGGATTATGTGTAAAATCCTAGCTCTGTCTTAACTCTCTCTACACTTAGGTGAACACCAGTGATAATTTACTCAGCCACTTGTGAAGAGGTAATCCTTTCTAGGATTCCATATCTTCTTTCCAAGAAACTTGCTGCACTTCCAAAAGGCAACACATTATCCTATTCACATAATAGACTGACTCAGCCTTTTATTACAAATTTGTATTAAATCCTGCACCCACCATCTTTCACATTCCTTACATACTCTTTGCACATGACAAAAATGCAAAACAGAAGAATCAAGTCATGCGTAATGCTATAACACAATTAGAGTGACAATTTACTTCTTAACAAAACCTCAAGAAAGAGAAAACCCAGGTCCATCCTTAATCCCCTTTCCACATACCTGTTGTACAGCAGAAGATGCCATTGTTAATGAAATTCCTTCCAGAAGGAATTTTATTGCCTTGTTTCTTTTATATGGAACTAGAAGACCTGAACTATGTGACTTATGCTCTTATAGAACTTTCAATTAGTCTTGAGGGAACTGGGGCTGAAAATTTTAAGGTGGGGAGGGGAAGCAAAAAACAAACCCTTGATGCTCTAAAGTTGAACAGTTTAATAAGCTTAAAACACTCTCCCATCCTCTCAGGAGTGTCTGCTTACCTAAGTTGTCATCACCTGACCTGAGGTCTCGAAATCTGCTATCCCATAATGACTGTAAAAGCAAATCTGAACTGTTGTGTTCATTACAAGTGGTGTCAAGGAATCTGATCCCAACTGCACAGGGATGGGACCAGTGTCTCCAGTAGAAAAAGGACATGTGTCTTGCATTTCTTTAGGAAAATCCAAGATTATCATAGTCCACATTTGTCTCACATTCCAGTCACTGAGAAGGGGCTATACCATCCATTGTTCTTTTTTTTCTTTTTCTTTTTTTTTTCCACATAAAAGTGACTAAAAGAACAAATCTCATCAACCCTCTTAGATCTGGAAGAATGGGGCAACTTGCTGAATTCTCTTATTATTTGAAAAATTTCCTTGTAGATTCTTTTGGATTTTCTATGTGGTTAATCATACTATATATAAATAATTATAGTTTTGTTTCCTCCTTTTCAATACTTTAGGCTTTTAATTTCTTATTCTTAGTGTATTGTGCTAAGACCTCTAGAACAATGTTGATGAA